GACAGCACCACAGAGAAAAAACAACACTAAACCCGGCCGCAGCTCGGTCTGAGCCGGACTGCTTGTTCGCAAAGTATTAGAACTTCCTCATGTTGAGAGGTATTTAATTAAGTTGCAAGAGGATGAGAAATTATTTGCTAGAGTCTGCATGACTGAAACAAATCTACTGATGGAGACCTTGCAGGGTAAATGGTCTGTCAGAAATCTGAAAGTACAACGTTTTATTTTCTGTTTGTTAGCATAATTTCTGAAGAACTTTGTAAATTTGTGTAGGACCTTATTAATTTGATCACGCTAATTTACAGTAAACTTTAAGAGTGAGGCACCCCTTCTCTGCTTCTAAGTCATCCAGTAAACAGGGCTTTCAGACAATATCTATATAGCATATATTTTTATTATTTCAGCACCAATTACACTGATATTGTCAATAGTTGCCAGTAACATGAAAACAAGTACTGTGGTGTTCTGTGAAATTTAATACTCAATAGAGTTGCCAAATGACAGAGACAAATCATTTTTTAATACCTTCATCACACAGGATAGCACATACGAAGCCCATCTTTTCAGGGCAGCTGAGAAACAAAGTAGCGAATCTGGCGAGCATTTCGGCTTAAGAAATACCTGTCTCACAAGAGTATTTGAATAAGCGTCTGTTGATCTCAAACTCTGCAACGGTCAAATAGTTTTATTTACCAGACTTAATCACGTGCAGTGTAGGTTATTGGAGACCCTGTGCTGAACCTTGTTAGAGTACAGATATTAATATCTAGGCAAGAAGCCTTCCTAATTAAAATAGGATCTAGGTACAGTGATGAAAATATTAAAGGCTGGAAAGATTGAAAATAAGTGGCAAAGAATATAAGTGGTAAGATTTAAAGAGTTATACACTGATAAGCAAAGTATCAAATAGCATTTATGTATTGCCAATGGCTTAAAGATAATAGGGAGGAATTTTTAACTGCTTTAGTGAGAAAAAAACAGATAAGATTCAGACCAGTTGGTAGATAAAGATACTAAAACTGTACAACTGTAGCTGTATAGAAAAGGTAGACATGTTTCATAAGTTTGGGGGTTTTTTTGTAGTTGAACTCGGCATAAATACCTAGTCATCCTCCATTTGCAGTGCTTCTGCTGAGACTACTGGTAATGAACACTGCACTCAGTAGTTAATATTTGCAAGATTATTTGAATTCAACCACACATAAGCAAAAGAGCTAGGAGACAGATGTAACAAAGTGATGTATTTTATATGGTTTGTTGGGTAGGCATTTTGTTTGCAGTGGTGCATTTGTTTATTCAGTTTTTATCCGAGGAAAAGGAAGGCTCCAAAGGAAGACTGTTCGAGATTAACGAGGGGCTACTGAGCTATGGTAACCTTTTAAGTTACAATAAGATCATTGCGTTAGAAATACACCAGTAAGAAACCTGTGTAGAATAAATAGCTACTGATTTTGCAGCTCTCAAAGAATATGTAATCCCTCTAGTGGGAAGACTGAAGTCAAGCAACACAGAATGCTAGTACTATTGCCTTTTTTTGAGATCATTCAGTATTTTTTCCTAAGAAAAGACCTAAGTAAAATAATTCTGTTTAGAAAATGAAAATTATGTGTGCAGTTTACATTCCATAGCTTTTGCTGGATTCTTCGTAATACGACGTTAAGAAGGAATTCAAAACGGAGATACAGTAATACAGCATTACTGCCTTAAAATCTGATCACAGGTGACATTCATTGTATGTACCACGCTTTCTCACAGTGAACAAAGGCTAGCATAAACCCACTACAAATCACACGTTCTGCTTGCCCCTCTTCCCTCCCTCTGCCCCACTAAGTCTGGATACGTTTAACCCTGACATGAGCTTGCACGTGATGTGGGAATTCAGCCACCCTGAACTGAAAGCCTTGAGCCACACCGTGCTGCCAGTTACGTTCCCATCTGGTGTAGTGGCTGGGAGCTCGGTGGCGGCGTGCTGAGGCATCACGCTTTCCTGGCAAGCCGGGTGTGGAATTTGTCCTTTCCAGAACTGCAATAAAAGAAGCTAGGGAGGAGACAGGGAATTAAAGGGTAAAGTTCAAATTTCCTGAAGTGTTTACTTAGGACATCTGAGGGAATAAAAATTTGAGAATAAGTATATTACTTAAGGAGGGACAAAAAATAATCTCCTTACCCTTTTAATTGCCATAACTTGAGAGGAGGGATAAATTCAAACAGTGGAAAGGTAAATATAGTACAGACCAGAAGTCCTTAATACAATGCCTCACTCAGTGCCCAGAATGAACGGTGCTCCACTGTTCTGCTGCTTTTTCTTCCCTTTGACACCACCCTTTTTCTATTTACCGCACATTATTTATACTCAGTTCTGCAGCCAGTTATTTTGTACAAGGATTTTCTGTAATAGCCAAGTTTTATGTTGGAATCGTCAAATAATGTACTTGCAATGATAAGGGACAGGGGGAAGGCATTTCTGTCACTTTATAGGTAAAGAGAGTATGGAGATTAAAAGTTAAAATTTTTATTATCCAGTTTGAGCTACCTGAATTTTCTCCAACCTCATATGACTTCCAGACTTACTTTTCCCTCCCAGCTCCAACCTCTTTAACAGATGGTTCAGTGGTGACCAACCTCCTTACTCCATACTCCTTCCCTTCTTTCTTTCCTCTGTGTTCAGCATTGTGGGAATTTTTCATCACTCACGGGGCATCAGCAAGAGTATCACTGAAGGCCTAAGACAAGATAACCTTAACTGTGGGTGGTGCAGCTAGTGAGGTTTTGATATTGAGATTTTTGAGGCTAACAATCAGCTTTTATTCAATGCAGTGCAATAACACAACTTACCACATCCATTTCATTATAAATATAGCAGTTGGTGCTATATATATAGCAGTTGGTGCTATATGTATTCCCCAGGCATGAGATCTTTACAGAATTAAAGCTAAAATGTAGTTTTTCAGTAACAACATTAATTTCTACGATCTCACAGCTTGCAGTCGGATGGTTCCCAAGATGGTCTTTAACTAGAGTTGTAATTACATTATAAAGGTATCTGAAGATAACAGTGATACATGCCAGTGACTTGGAAAAGACATTTACAGTTCCGCTTACTTTGCATATCACTTTACAACTGATCTTTATTCCTTTACCATGTACCTTATTTCAAAACCTTCGGTACTGAAAACTTGGATAATTTAAAACAGATTGATGAGAACTAGAGCAAGTCATGCAAGCTCCTTTAATCCTTTGGTTGAATAACATGGGGTCAGGATCCTGATCTGCACTGTTTTCACCAGACAGAAGCCAGAGTATGAAAATGAACTGCAGCACAGAACAAGTTCAGCAATAAGGCATCTCATTCCCTCTGTACAGCACTTTTTACAATCATATGTGTCAGCATGTATGTTCTGATATGTCAGAATATATATTATGCTACTTTACCTTCTCAATTAAATTTCAGTTGCACAGTGGCTTTGTTTTAATACGTGAGCTGCAGCATGTTATTGTAGAAAGTTCCATTGAGCTAGGAATTTAGAGCACTAGCTTGTTCTCAGGTAGCCTAAAACTCATTTTTGCCACTTTGTGGGTGAAAACCCTAAGCATTAAGGGTTAGATGTGCATTAATTATGCAAGAAATTGGCACTGTGCTCTTTTCCCCACCTTGGTTCGCACTGAGCTCAGTTCCGTGAGGTGATCCTGTCGGAGTATTTAGGAATTACTCTCCACTTGAGTATCAAAATGGTGGTAGGTGGGGAAATAAGCTCAGCTGGTTAGTCAGCCATGGGGCAGTACTTCTGGGCAGAAAACCAGCATGTAGAATGGAGAAATGGTGTTTCAGGTGTCTAAATTCTGTGATTGTCACCCGTTAGGTGCCTGATGTCCGTTTGGGCTCTCATTCTTACCTCCTAGGTTTCTTGAGTATCTAGGCAGATAGCATTTATTGTCTCCATGTCTAGCGCTTGAACTGAGTTGACACCAGTGCAGCGCTACCAGAATTCATCTTCGTTTGCTGGTCTGTAATTTCTATAATCGATGAGACTGGCAGAATTACTGGGGAAATGTCTTGGGCCAGTTTGCATGTGACTCACCCAGTAGCATACAAATAAATGACTCCAGGAGAATAAAGTTTATTTTTTATGTGCTTGTTTAAGTGCCCTACTACCACGAATGATGCAACGGAGTTTCCAGCATTTGGGGAAATCCCAAGTATCAGCAGGCCTGGAGTGGAAGAGATGTGCCGCACCCTGCAGAGAAAAATCACTTTCCTGATCATGATGTCTCCTCTTGGTGCCTGTTTTGGTTACTGTTTCTGTTACTACAGGGGGAGTGTGTTGAAAATTCCTCAAATATTGCAACACATCCCCATGTGGCCAACATGAGATGTTTTTGCAGTTCCTGCCACAAAATTTTATCATACTTGAGTACACTCTTAAGGCAATACCAGTGAACACAAAATTTCTTCCTCTAGCTGTGGCTTTTGTAAATATTTTTTCTCACATGTATAGTCCATGCTGTTTTCCTTGTTCCTCATAATAGCTTTTTTGCTCCTTTTGTTTCGTTTCTTGCGACCTTTCTCAGTTGCTAAAGATTGAATGAATCAGCCTATTGCTGTCCCAAAAAGTGCCCACCAGATGTCACACTGATACTTCTAATACAGGCACATCAGCCCATGCTTGATGGCTTTCTAACCTGTACCCGGTTTTTACCATATACAAATATAAGCTCTGCCAAGGGTAGAAACGGAACCCACCTAGAGAGGCGTCAGGTACCTGCTGCGGGACCAGCTCCTTGGGTCTCAGTGCTGATCTCTAATAGGAGCTGTAATATTCCTGAGCCATTCTTTGTGCCAAACTCCCTTTGTAAATATCTAACAGTGGTTTAGGAGTTTATATGTAGGTTTTTCTATTGGAAAAAAACCTAGCATAGGTTCATGCATATATTTTTTGAAATCCACTCTGAAGTTTTTGGCTAATATCTAAATGTTTGGGTATGAGAGTTCTAAATAACTAGATTGGTTAAGCAGTGTAATTTCTGAAATTAGCTATAAGTCTGCCACTTATAGTATTCCATTTTGCCATATTTTATATGAACTAGATCACAGGGAACATTTCTCCTCCCTGTGTTGGGGGTAAGATTATGTTATATGGGAAGAACCTTTTTGTCCACCTAGAAAGAGTGAGTACTATCTACACATGAGGTCATGATTAGTCAAATAAAGTAAGTAATCATTAGCCAGCCATGTATAATAATGTATCAAAGCATATTCATATTTGATGCATTGAGCTTCAGGACATGATACCATGGCTATCAGGACAGCTGATGCTATACAGATTGTTCTTAGTTCAGGTTTGTCAGATGGCTTGTACACTTTTTTTTGTTGTCATATTGATGCTTCTTTCTTGTCCAGTTCTTTTGTAGTTGAATCCTTTTATACTTTGTTAATATGTACATTATAGGTGATTCTTCCTTATTCTTTCAGTAAAATGATTAGAATTTTCAGGAAAATAAAATAAGGTTCTACATCACCTCTTAGTAAAAACATTCACATATGTTGTTTGAAACTATGTGTAGGGCTTATGAGAAAGCAAAGGGGTAAAGAGACCAGATGGGCTGTCAGTTGCTGTACTCTGTGCTTCAAAAAGTTTAGGGCTCTCTAATTAAAAAAAGCTACAGAACTTTATTTTTTTGCTGTTCTGATAACTGTATATGGTCATGAACAACAATACATATCTTTATAATACTTACCTACTCCAGGAATCTTTACAGATGCTAATAATCACTTGCTGTTTTGCATTTGTGTTGTGCATGCTTGACACGTTACATCCAGGGATGAATTGGCCTTGAGCTGTCTAAGAGCACTCTGCAAGTGTACAGCAAAGCTTTCTGATTCCCTTTGAATTTTATTTAAGGAAAAGTTAGAGCAATCGGTTGGTGGCAGCAAACACTTAAAAAAAAGGCTCTTTGAAGTTTGGAGCTGCTCTCAGATGTGGGAGCCCAGTCTGGGCAGTGTCCTTCCATGGGTGGGCTCCCATGGCTGGCTAAAGCCCTTGTGAAGCCAACAAAGCTATGGATAAGCACAGTCACCTCCACACTCTTCTGGATTAGGGTGTTTGTATAACTCTCTAAGGATGTTCCCATCCTCTTCCCTTTCTGCTTTCATACACAGGTTTTGTGTCGTTTGTTCATTTCTGGTGTTTTTCATCACCTTTCATATTAGCTAATACCTAGTATGGCTTTCTGAGGATTTAGCTTAAGCATAATACCTCCAAATCTAACAGAGCAAAGCATTGTCAGCCTTTCACATACATATTTCACATACATACGTCACAAAATTGATCAAAACTAGTGTTCTCATCATGTTCTAGAGTGGAGGCTAATGAAAATATTAAAGACTGGGAAAAAAACCCTAAAAGCCATGGTCTAATAAAACCGCGAACATATTCAGGGAAAAGCCAACTCCATAGTAGTTCTGACATGTAAGATGGTTATATGATAGCTCATGACCATCATTATCTTGGATTTAAGGGCCCCCAGTTCTTCACTGTAGTGGGCACAGTGAGTTATACCTGCATAGTCCTGTTTTGCACAGGAACTTACGATGATGCAAAGACTGAATCAATGAACAGTCTTGTGAAGCTCTCTGCTGAAAACCTGCTTGGGAGAGGAGGTCACAGATACCTATCTTCATGCTTGTAGAAGTGGCCAGGCTTTTTCTATCCAAGAAGTAAGTAAGTCTGCTTCCTCTGGAGGTTTACTTTCCTTAAGAAGTGAGTGGGATGAGAGGGGGGTGGAGAATGATTATGGATTAAGTGCTTTATTTTGTTTCCCTCATGAACTCTGTTAATAAAGCTAGTCAGAAAGCAATTCTCTGCAAATACTGCCTCTTCCTCTCTGGAATAAAACATGGAGGCATGTTAAGGGTTGTCGCTGTCCTGGCTGAAAGATCTGATTTTAAAAGTTGTCTTCCATGTAGATATACATTAGCTA